ACATGCCAACTTTCAGCGCAATCGGCCAAGTAGTTACGGAGATATTGCAACAATTACAAAAGTGACACCTCTTCGTTATGAGAATGAGCTTTCGCTTTACAGCATCATCAGATTCCTGATGATGCTCATTCTCAAAGCTCATTCTCATATTTGGTCTATTTTACAATAAATCTTTTACATTTCTGCCATGTTATTGATCATTTTTGCATATTTATATCTATTCATCATGGCAAAAAGCACCATCACACATATTCAAACCTAACCTGATTGGGTATTTGGGTAGTTTTTATGATGCTAAGCAATAGCCTATTCCAGGTTTCCTAATTTGCAGAGTTTTGGTTAAAAATGATTAGTAAAAAATGTCTTTGAAGTATGTTCTGACATGTCCGCCCTCTGTGCCTGACAGACAAGTCACAGCGTTACCTGATGAGTCAAGAGGCATTATTCTGGTCTCTGGAACACCACCTGATGGCCAACTCGACGGCATTCCTGACCCAAAAAGGAGCCTAGATCAAATTCAGCTGAATCTTCAACTTCTGCCACTGCACTGTTGACTCTGCGCAGGGACAGAATTTGCACCACGGCCCAAAGACGATCTTCCGTGGGACGGTGTGCTGCGCGCCAGTCACCACACTGACGGCGGTCACCTGTGTGCTGCACATTGCACAACTTTCTGTGAGATCAAGAGATCGACACTGACGGCCCCGGACGGTGTGCTATGATTGCGCCAAGTGTGCTCCCGCGTGTCCGGGCCTTGATACCAATACCGCACGCGAGGCGGCGCGCGTCCGCCAAGCCCTCACATCAAGCTGCGTCCAAGGTGCAGGTGGTGTTCGGTGACAGTGTGCAGCTTCTGCCGGCCCCGTGAACGGCACCGCGTGTGACCATGGCATGAACATTCGATTTTCTGACATAAGTGCAGTGAATTCATTTGTCATTTGCTTCTGATTGCTGTCGCCGCTCGGCAGATTGGTCGATTCTGCCAGAGTAAAGAGGTCGCCACGATCGGCGCCGGTGCGGCAAGGAGCAAGGCACTCAGCAATCGGCTGCCGGGAGGTGGCGGCGGCGCGGCTGACGACTCGGGCCTCGAAAATCCTGTCGTGTGCGTTGCTGGCTATTATGCGTTGTTGGTGTGCGCTGTTTTGCAAGGCCTTTGGAGCGGCATGTCGAGTTTTGAGTTTTGGACGAAGGAGCCTTGGTGTTTTGCTGGTCTATTTTCGATAAAAACAGTCATGAAGAGTGATATGTGTCCAGGCTGATTTTAAGATTTCTGTCACAGTATTGTCACCTTTGACCTAGGGTTGCATGTCTTTTTGGGTATCGGCATATTGTGCCACCGTCCTTGCCCCGTGTCCGCGCGTGCTGCATTTTTATGTGATCGCGCGTATGGTGTCATATACTGTCACCTCGCCATGTTAGTGTTATCCACTGTGTGGAAAAATGCATTTTGTTTGTTTCTTTTTTTGGGGGGAGGCCTACACTTGTGTTCCCCAATCCAGCGCTTTAGATAATACAGCATCTGTTTTGACATAATGAAAGCCTGTGTTTTATGTGGGTGGCAGGATTCGCCGTGCCTCAGGTCCGTTTCTGGCATTTGAATTTCTCCTACATTTCTAGAATGCCTTTTTTCTGTTTTTTTTTTCACATACAAAGCACGGTTCAAATGTGTGACCAAAAATCACTGTGATTGTCCCATGCTTACCACCAACCATTCCTACAATGCTAATGTCGTTACAGCGAAGTTTTTCATTTATTGAGAACAGGGTAGTAGTTGAATAAACAAGACAGGTGAGCAAAATCTGCAGCACTCGTAGTCTTGGCTGATGCGTTAGGAAAAATGGAGGAACTGCAAGTACACACCACTTTTCAGTTTTCATTTATATTATGTATTGTTTCAATAATAGATCTAATAAATATTATTCCAATATTACCTAGACGGTAGTTATCATCCTGCAAAACATGTCCAAATATTTAGTACCTTGAATATTGCAGTAAAATAAGCTGCGCCGCTGCATGTATCAGCAGCGCAATATCTGGTGCCAACTCAAGGTCAAGCGGGTCACGTGACAGTTGAGCGGCGGCTGGCTAGAACAGTCGCCGGCGACTTCAAAATGTTGGAAAAATTGAACTTTCTCGGCAACGCCGACAACTCTTCAATGATTGGCTGACACGACTGCTACGTCACACCCCGGCGACTGGTCAGCTGATATCGACAACTGCGGAGTTGCCGGCGACTGACCCCGGTCGCTGGCGATCGCCGGCGACAGTTGCCGTCGCCGGCGACCGGAAAAGTTGCTACGTGTGAAAGGGCCATAAGGGCCAAAGAACACCTGACAACGGCCGGAGCGTTGTGAACTGGCCGAAACGTTGTGAAACTAACATCTCAACTCAAGACGGGGACGAAAGTCCGACAACTAACATCAGTGAAAGTAAAAATTATTAGCATTTTGGCTTCTTCACGTTTTGGGCTCTGGCCGCCATCAAACAAGTCAGATCAGGCTCATTTTTGGTTCACACACTCGTGAACAGATGCTCTAGATACTCTGAGGGTACCAAACTTGTACTTTGATTTTCAGGTCAAGGTCAGGTCATCACAGGTCACGAAAATATTATATCATCCCACGTGACACATGTTTTATGGTCCATTTAGGCCAAACATTTCGAATTTTATGTCGTCTGTGTCATTTGAGGTCATTTTGAGTCAAATTTAGCTTAGGTCAGGTCACTTTCAGGTCAAAAAAGGTCAAATTTTGAAGTTAAAATTTTTCAACAAAAAAGGTGTCTATTGGATGCAGTTTGAGATCAGGAACACGATGGTGCTATTTATATTGGCGTACGATATCAAATTCGTGCTGAAAAATTGATTTGGAAAATTAATAATTGTTAATTTTTTGCAATAATGCGTATAACTTGGCCATTTTTGAAGATATTTAGCTGAAACTTGCTAGAGTTAGTCATAATAATGCGTTCTATCACAAATATTCCGTTTTTTTCGAAAAGTAAAAAAAATGTTTGATAAAATGTAAAAATATAAATTTTGAATTTTATTTTCAAAATTTCGAAAATCCGAGATAACAGTTTGATAGCGCAGTCTATTCTGAGTCCTCTCATGCAAAGAAATTGGATCTATCTTAAAAACTGAGCTCTTGGGAGCGATTGCCGTGGTTCAATGTTTTGCGTCGAAATCGGGCGCGGGTTAAGACGACGAAGATATAGCCTGAAGTACACTAAATTTTCTAGGTGCAAAACCTACCATTAAAACCCGTGAGACCTGTACATTAGTAGAACGGTCGCCCTGTCCGACGTCCGCGGTCGAAGCTGTCTATGCACCTATAAAGACGCTAAGACGGGTGCAATAACGGCGACTCGGTCCCGTCTCTGGCGAATCCAGAGTGGCCTTTAGGACCCAGGCCGAATCTGACCGTCTTTTTTAGGGAAACGGGATGATAGAGTTTATAACCGATGGTTTAAGAATGAATGAGAGGGATCCCGTCGTCGATGGTTGTTTGACAGACAACAACCATGGCGGATAACCATAAGAGATAATGCCTGAACGTAGGCAAGTATAATTGGTATGTCATATTGTTTAGGAATATAAAGTCGTAGTGGAGATCATTGAGGATGCGATCTCTACATTACGGGGATTCGCCACCGGTGAAGCTACTACGGTCCATAGAGGCAACGCCGGAGCTGTTCATGTTTTTCCCTCGGTCTCGGGCAACTCCGGGGAGCTGCAGTACCCGGCGGCCAAGGCGGCCACCTCGTCGACTTGCAGGTCCTGTGGGCTTCCGTAACGCTTCACTTCTTCACCCACGGAAGCACGGGTAAAGCAGAAGGATGTGGGGTGAGGTGTCTGTCCGCCTCTTTATTGTAGGTACGGCTCTCGCGAGATTAAGCGGTAGGTTTTGCACTTTTACATTTCCGGTTATATCTCAGAAACTAATCGATCTACGATGAAGCTATTTTACACGATCATGGCCGGCTTGGGAACCAACAAGTCGATCGCATCTTCAACACTTAAAAGCTTAAGACGACGAAGATATAGCCTGAAGTACACTAAATTTTCTAGGTGCAAAACCTACCGTTAAAACCCGCGAGACCTGTACATAATAGGTATACGAGCGCCCGGTCCCGCCGAAGCTCGGTATCGACCGTGATATATTCATAACAGGCAGATCCAGGAAACGGTCTTGGACACCGCGGGTCATACCCCAAAAAGGTGTTTCCGAAAAAAAACTTATCGGATTTCGATTTATTGTGCACTGCTGTGCAGTTTGATTGGCAAACTTTACCTCAGAAAAGCTGTGAATTGTTTTCGTTTTATTCTCGAAAAGCAATTTCGGGCGCTGCCCCGGATGTGGGGAGAAGACATATGCCTCAAATTTCTTCCCCTGGATTCGCCGGTGGGTCGTTCTACCCTCAGCTTTACTAAAAAGGTCTTCAAACCCCAACAGACAGCCGATGGTAAGATCAATTCAAATCCGATAACTCAACTTTGTCTGCCCTCCTAAATAAACTACACACTGTACGGCGCCAGGCCCCGTCAGAGCTCTGAGCCGGCCGTGACATTATCGGTTTTCCCACATTCAAAGCTCGATTAGAAACGTTCTCTCTCCCCACCCGATGCTGATGATGTCAATTCAAATACAATACCTCATCTCTGTCTGCCCGCCCATTCATTGCACTCCGTACGTATGTACGTACAGCGCCTGGTCCCGCCAGAATGATCCTAGCGCGCGAGTAGTTGCCTCCAGCCGCCTCATCACGAGGCCCCGCGAGGCCCATAACTTAATGCATTGCGTGAATAGCCGTTTCGCCCCCTGGTTTTACGTATGTTGTTATATTCAGAAATTTCCGGGGAACTAAACCATATGCAATTTACAATTTATACCGATTCTTTTCAATTTATTAAACCCTGATAATCCCTTTAAGGCCTTGTGGCAGTGTAGCGTTGTGGCCTGGTGCTGGGCTTGGCTGTGACGCTGATGGCCCTTTTTCAGACGGGTGACCGTATTCTGTACGTGGACGGCGCCGACCTGCGCGCCGCCAGCCATGACCAGGCAGTGGAGGCCATAAGAAGCTCGGGCGACACTGTTGAGTTTGTCGTCCAGAGTCTAGTGCATCGGGTGAGTAGCTGAGACTACAGCCGCCGCCGCGGTGACTCTGATCTCAATACACGCTCTAGTAGTAAGAACCTACCTGCCGGCTGTGTGGAAGGCGGAGTCGTGTCGGCGCCAGCGACCCACTCGCAACCTCGTTTCACAAAGAGGACCATTTACGACTTCCCATTAGTTATGCCAGCCTTTGCGTATTTGATGTCAATGCTGTATCATGAAGCTCGAGATCGTAGAAGTCATCGAAACTGCGGGACATCATTTACGGCAAATGCTTGATTCTGAATGCCAATTGATGCCATTTGCGTGCCATTTGGTTTTTTTTCTTTCATTATACGAAAGAACAGACATTTGTGAGTATGTATGGTGAATTTCTAGTTAATCCAACAATAAATATGGCAGTTAGTAGCCTGCTAAGCGTACCTAAGATGTCGCCGGCTGAAGCGGGATCGGCTGACGCGGGAAACGCGGCAAGCACAATTTTGTGTTTACACAGGTTTACACACTCATAACTCAAGTTGTTACTGGCCGATTTTCAAAATTCTTTGACCATAAGATTGCCTGTACATTTCTTAGTCTTCTCACAAAATTTGACGCGAATCGAATGTAATCAACGGTAAGGAGCGCGATGTAAAGACGGAACCGTCCCGCCCCGGCACAGTCTACAATTCAGGCGGCGCGTAACGGCTAGCGCCGGCCGCCCGCGGCGGCAGGATGTTTGACTTTACACCGCTATTACTAGAAAAGTGGTGAACCGATTTTCTTATTTCTTGCGTGAGAAGATCTGCAGTTCAATTCTGGACAGGTAGCCAAAATTTCACATTGATATTCTGTTTGCGGCGCGAGTTATCGGCGAAAAACAGGAGGGGTGGGCAAAATCCCCCCTTTCACTGCGCGTGTTAAAGTTTACTTAACCCTCGCATGTGTGCGGCGTTTGCCAGCTTCTAATGTGTAGGGGGGGGGGGGTCGGTTGGACCCCCCTTGCCGTTTGGCCCCTGAGCGAGCTAGAGCTTCGCGGAAAAAACGAGCGTGTTTCCCGTGACGAGAGGAAGCCGATGATACCCAATTTTAAGGTCCTAGGTCATTGGTTGACCTTCCAGGTCAGGTCAATGACCCAAAGTCGGGAAAATCGGGACCTGTTAGAAAGTCGTAAAGTGTGGCTGCTAAGGGGTTTTTCGGGGTGCTGATCACGAATATCGTGTTAGTTTTGATCACAGATGATGTCTTTAAGCATTTAGACCAGGTCAGGTCAGGTCAGGTCAGGTCAGGTCAACCAGTAGGCGTCGTGACGGGTATTCGTAGTACGTGTCAACCGCCTCTGACAGCTTCGTAACATGTTACGAAGGCACCAAAACTACTTCGTAAATGTTCAAATGGTTGCTAAATTCGAATTCAGCTAAAAAACTAGCCTAGAAACATGTACAGCTCGAAAAAGTGAACCGAGGTCACCCGAGGTCACCAAAGGTCAATGACCTGACCTGACCTTCAGGTGACCTTGATACCCACCCTAATGCATGGAAGCAACATCAAATCACATGTTTGAATGTTTGAAACCACGAAAAGCTTGCAAACGCGCGGCTAATGCGAGCCGACATACGCAGAATCGCGATTCCGGCCAAACATGGTCTCGGAAAAAAGGTCACAGGTCAAAGGTCATTTGGGTCAGGGTCATGAAATTTTCAGGGTAGGTGTAAAATTGATCAATGTGAGGGTACTGAAAGTTTCGTTGCGATCGGCCGCTTTTTACGCGAGTTTTTCGCGAAAAACCATGGGGGGGGTCCATCCGACCCCCCCTACACATGCGAGGGTTAAAATTTAAGAAAAAAACTAAGTACACTTAAGCAAGCTAAAAAGTATACCATTCGACGCACCTTGACTTGCTGAGTTCACTGGTGCTTTTTCGTTTTGCTCTATCGTAATTACATAGATGAAAGGTTATAAGCTAAAAACTTTTGACCTGTTTTTTTTAGCGAAATTTTTACATTTATACCCCCAAAACTCCCCTAAATATTGACCTAGAGCAACAACATTTGCACAAGGGTGAGAACTCTACGGAGCCCACCTACCTACCGAATTTGGTGTTTATAGGTGCCATACGAGCCAATCGCGAGGGGGAGTTGCATCGACCCCCCCCCCCCCCTGCCAGGCCGTGTTATGAAAAATGCCCTGCCATTGGCGAGGGTTAACCCTCGCCCTGATAGGGGGGCCCAGTGGCGCAGCCAGGATTTCGTTTCGGGGGGTCATGACCTCCAAAGCAGGCCCCCTAGTGTGCGGGCCCCCACCCATTTTTCAGAATCTTTCCATATTTCATACGCATTCTGCTAAGCGGGCCCCCCTTTAACTACACACGATAACCCTGAGCGAGTTTGAATCGGAAAGTTTTGATAGAACGATAGCTCGGTAATCACCCGGTGTTCAATTTCTGCGCGAATTGACCATGGCAGAAATATGTTACTAATGAGGTATGAATACGTATCTTTCGAGGCCGAAATGTGCCCCTTCCCCAATATGCATAGCATATATGCAAACGGAGCTGTTGCCTGCTTCTATCGGACAAGATTTAAGTAGTTCCATGTGCCTGTCCTAAGTCATCTATTGGCTGCTGTAGAAGATTGTGCCTTTAACCTTCTTCATTACGTGAATTCGCTCACAAGAAGTTTTAACCCGCGCACCGACGGAGGGGCGGATATCCGCCCCCCCCCCCCCCCTGAGGTTTTTCGCAGATAGCGGGAAAACCTGGTACGACTATTCTCTCATCAATTTTACACATGGTGTGCAAGTTTGAACCTCCTAACTTTTAAGGTCAGGTCACCAGGTCACTTTGAATGACCCAACCTCAAGTCACTTTTTTGCAACTTTGTCACCGTGCCAGAGCTACAGTAGATGTCGGAGGCCTTTGAAAGTCGCAGGATGTTATTAGATCATTAGCAGCTACAATTTGTTTATCTCGGAATTTTGATATCGGTGACCTAAAGTCAGGTCAATTTCGCGACCTCCCCATCAGCGGCGGGTAGCTGTAGGTGAACGGTCCACCGGGACCCATAAGCTTCTCGCTCTCGATCACCTCCAGCAGGCGCGCAGCAAGCGAGTATGCCGAAACAGCGTCGTATGCCCCTCTCCCGCTGGAGGCCCTTTCTTCTGCTGGACCCCTTCTGCTGCCGGGGGCGCCCCTTCTGCCATTGGCACCCATTTTCTTATGGAGCTCCTCTGATTTGCTGGGGCGCCCATCTGCTGTCAGGGCGCCCCTCGGGATATGGGCGCCTTTTTCGGATGGGGGGGCGGCCTCCTCCGCCGCCCCCCCCCCCTGGATCTGCGCCTGGCTGGCACGGAGGTCAGCGCTGGTCGGCATTTACACCGTTAACGGCGCCGTCTGCGGCGCCGTTAACGCCTTCGTAACATGTTACGAAGCTGCTAGAGGCGGCTGACACGTAGGTACTACAAATACCCGGCAGGACCCCTACTGGTTGACCTGACCTGACCCGACCTGACCTAAATGCATAAAGACATCATCTGTGGTCAAAACTAACATGATAACTATTCGTGATCAGCACACCGAAAAACCATATAGCAGCCACACTTAACGACGTTCTAACAGGTCTCGATTTTCCCGATTTTTGGGTCATTGACCTGACCTAGTTCAACCAATGACCAAGAACCTTAAAATTGAGTATCATCGGCCTACTCTCGTCACGGGCAACACGTTCGTTTTTTTTTCGCAAAGCTCTAGCTCGATCATGGGCCAAACGCGGGGAGGGGGTCGTACCACCCTCCCCCTTGTGCCGTTGAAGGACGCAAAATGGCTGGAATGGCCTGTGCCGGCGAGGGTTAACGCGCTCATATGGGACATGTATTGCCTTGGGCCGGGTTTGTTGTGGTGTGGTGATGTGGTGACGTAGATTCTGTCTGCTATCGAGGTCCCGGCATGGTGTTACTTAGCGCGGGGTACAGGCCAGACCGTTGCGCCTAGTGCGCTGAACTTTGCGCGATTTATATATCAAGGATGGGCAACGTGCCTCTGAGGGTCTCACTCTCAGCTCGATCGGATCGATAGCGAGCACATGGCGTGGCTTAAGAAGTGCAAATTCGCGTCATAGACTTTACAATACGTTTAAATCGGCTTGCAAAATCGTGCGAAAATGGCTAAATTTGCCCGACACTGGCCCGGTCCCCGTGCAGTATCTCGGTTCGGTAACCGTGGGTCCGATCGGGGAACACAGTATCGTGTAGAGAATCGAACGGGCTATCGAATGGTGTGCGGTGCAGGGATGGCACGCGCCACGTGCACCCGTGAGGGCACTTTTTTAGAAATTTTGTCCGAATGGATGAATGGGTGGCTATGGGCCCGGGTGCCCCGCTAAGCAGAGCTTGTTGCGAATGACACCACGGACCCACCACCCCACCTTGCCCGCGCCCGGTTCACCGGTGATAATTTGGATCGAAAGTTTAACACGCGCAGTGGAAGGGTTGCGAGTACTACGCCCAGTGGAACGGGGGGGGGGGGCGGATGTCGCCCCCCCCCCCCTAAGATCTCAGCTCCCACTGAAGCTAGAAAGACGAAATTTGGAGGGTAGGTGGGGGCCATGGGGAACTCTGTTGTGTGTGAATTTCATGACCCTAGGTCAATATCGTCAAGGTCAAATGAGGTCAAATGTGGTCAAATCTGCCATATGAGCGACTTTTTTTGCGTTTACACGCCGATAACTTAAAAAGTTACCGGCTGATTTTCTTTTTTCTTTCACTATACGAAAGAACAAACATTTGTGAGTATGTATGGTGAATTTCTAGATGATCCAACAATAAATATGACAGAAGCCTGCTAAGGGTAAGATGTCGCCGCCTGAAGCGGGATCGGCCGACGCGGGAAACGCGGCAATCACAATTTTGTGTTTACACACTCATAACACAAGTTGTTACCGGCCGATTTTCGAAATTCTTTGACCATATGATTGCCTGTACATTTCTCAGTCTTCTCACCGAATTTGACGCGAATCTAATATAATCAGCGGTAACTG